AAAATCCAATTATTGTCATTTTTTACTAATGAAAGCACTCATTTACCTATTAAGTTGAAAGGTTCCACCAAAAATTGTTGAGTCTGAAATTTGTGAAATGTATAAAAATATCCTTTATGTGCCTCATGAGAAAAACTCATAATGAGTTTTTCTCATCAAACTCATGAGATGATAATTAAATTCAAGCATGTGAGCAATGTTTAAAATTTTAATGGAAGCTGTAATCTCCATCAAAATCAAATTGAGTCTCTTGTCAAGAGGACAGAGAAGCCACAAAAGTGATCAACAAATTTTTCTGCAAATCTCAGTGTGAGGCCTTGGTGGCTTTGTGAACCTCACCTAGCTATAAAGTGACCATGGATACTGCAAAATGTTGATTTTACCAATGGAAGATGGCAGAGAATGGTTCTTTAGTGACAAGATTGTATTCACTGTTACGGCTTCATTGAATGCAAATTTTTCTGCTAAAAAAATCTTACAACCTTACAGTGAAACACAAAAATGTCACCTGAAGTTTAATGACCTTCAAAAAGCAATTATAGACCAGTAAACACTTCAGATTAAGTGTATAGATGTGATTTAAACTTGGAATATTAAGGAGATAGCAGAAGAAAACACTAAAACTTCTAGAAGTTAATCACCTGAAGCCAAGAGGATTCAAAACTGTTTATTAAGGACTGGAAAGAGCCAAAAAATCCTATTTCTATGACAAAAGTACCCATGAAATCAAAGGTAAAAATCACTGATTCTTTCTCCAGGTGTGCAGCTGCTGCAGTAGGAGATGAAAAGGGCTGTGAAAAGCTTTGTCCTTGGGGAGGGTGAAGCAGCAGAGCTTCCCTGGGCCCTGGCTGGAAGGTGTGCACAGAGCTGGCTGTCCTGCAGCAGGAGGTGATGCCATCACAATTCATACAAATTATCTCTGCTTTTACACTTCCCCCTCAGGCTTAGGGCTGCTGCCCAAATTCACTCAGAGCCTGGTGACAAAATAAAAGGTAAAAAAAACCTCCAAACTTGGGCTTTTTCAGACCCACAGCAAAGGTATGTCATGGCAGTTTTTAAAGGTTAATTAGTGGAAGGCATTGGTGTGGATCCACTTGTGTTCTGTTTCAAGTTTGTCTCTGTTTTGGTGTTTCTCAGAAAGGTCAAGCACCTGCCACAGTGTGACAAAAGAGACAAGGAAATCTGGCTGGGTCTCTGTCAGTCACTGCTGAAATCCACACTTTGGGGACATGTCCCAAATTCAGTGAAAATAATGAGCTGAAGTTAGAGGAAAAAACCCACAATGATACATGGATAAGAGAAGGGAAAGTGGATGGTGACAGAAGCTGAAAATATGTGACAGCTTAAAATATCCAATGAAAAAATGTATTTCCTAACTAGCACAGACAATGATTTCATTCATTTTCATTTTCATCAATGTTTTACCCACACAAAGCTCAACCTCCTGGTAAAAGCCATACTCAGATATTCCTAAAACTCTTCTGCTGCCAGTAAATTAAATTTGGATCAGAGGTTACCAAATGGCACCACGTTTCTACCAACATGTGTAAGCAGATATTGTTTCTGTAGATTCCCAACCTGACTCACCCATCCCTGGAAGTGTCCAAGGACAGGTTGGACAGGACTTGGAGCAGCCTGGGATTGTGGAAGGTGTCCCTGCCATGGCAGGGATGGAATGAGATGGATTCTGAGATCCTCCCAACCCAACCAGTCTGGGATTTGCAGAGAGACTGCAAATGAGACCTTCTGAGAGCTTCTTTGAGAGGTTACTGCACTTGTGGTTATCAGGCTGGATGAGAAAAACCCAGATGATAATGAAACCAATAAAAATGAGCAGCTGGATAACCTGACAGGGATAGTTAAGGAGAAGCCAGGCAGCTCCCACTGTGTTTTATGATTGTCAGGGCTCTGCATGGGAGCAGATGAATGATGGTTGGCATTATCAAGCAGAATGGAGCATCTCCTGTTTTAACCTTTCATTTGTTTAACCTTTACTGTGTGGGTGAGGTTGTGCAGCTGAATTTCTTACTACTTGGAAGGGATTGTATTTTTCTCTTTTATATCAGGGATGATCAAGATTTAACAAAGTTCTCACACAAGAGAACTGCTATAAGCTGTTCAAATGGATCTGTAATTACAATAGGGCTGAATCCACCCTCAAGTTTTATTTCTTGGCATCTCTGCAGGGCTGTCTGTTTTCCTCCAACACTAAAAGGAAAAGAGATTTAAAGCACAGACTCTAGAAAAAAATTACCTGTTCTAAAGAGGTAGAAAAGGAGGCTAAATAAAAAACATTGGTATCCAGATTTACTGGCTTGTGGTTTGGATGTGTCTGAAGGTAAAATAATGGTGCTGTGTATTTCAAAGGAAAGAACATTTTAACTCCCAAGTGCATAACTACAGCAGTAAATAGGGCACACATCAGTTTGCCATCATTATTTCCAGGGCAGGCATAAACAGCATGAGACATTCACACATCTGATATTCCTGGTAAAACTCCTTGGAGCCTGAGTGTTTTCCAGTGCTGGACAATCAGAAAATAATTGCACAGACAAGTCCACTTGACAGCTATTAGGCCATTTATTTAGGAATGCCTGGACTAAAATGGAGTAAGGTCACCTGCATTAGTCCCAGTTCTGCTGTGCCCAAACTCGTGTAAGCACTAGTGACAGCCAGGAAAGAGCACCAAAGCCACTGTCCCCAGCACCTGAGGCCTTCAGCAATCAGAGTCCATCCAGTCTCAGCCAACAGATGTCCAAGGATTCCCCATCAAATCCATTCCTTCTTATCAAATGAAAAATAATTTCTCACAGGAAGAACCTCAGTTCTGAGAACAAAGCACAGGAACCTCAAGGTTTGTAAAGTTAAACTCTCACACCATTATCTCAAGGTAGAAAGACCTCACCAGGACTAAAGCAGTGGTTTCCACTTTCAATCCCATTTAAATTTGGCTATTTTGTTCCACTTCTGCCAGTGCATTCCAACCACCCACAAAGTTGCCTTTGGGGACTCCAGAGAGAATCCACCCAAAAAACTCCATTCATAACCCCAAAAAACTTGTGTGCTCTTAATCTATCGTGATGGTCATAAAATCTACATATGCCAGTGAACACAACAAATTTAGCTGCAAACAAATTGTCTGCTGTCATTACTCCTTATTCCAAAATTATTTCACTTTGTTACCTGCACAAAGACATCATTAATCCCTTTCCTGCTCTCAGGAAAAAAAATATCCCTTCTTGACAAACTGCAATTATATTTGCTACGCAGAAATACTTGGCATACAGGATGCTGTAAGGGTGCAAAGAGGGTGAAATTAGTAAAATATAATTCCACAGGATGGAATGATTGGATGAGTTGTTTACTTCTGTTACTTAATTGAAATGATACTGACTTGGAGGCGTTCCATAATTTCAGTCACAGGGAATTAAAAGTGCACTCTTCTGTTTTATTGGGGCCTTTGCTGTTATTTAATGGTATCTGCAAAACCAGGAAGGGCTGAAATTGCCTAAGAAATTTAGGAATATGATTATTTACTATGCAAGGGCTCTAGATTATATTTTTCATTCTGCAGTCTTTTATCTTTTATGTGTTTCCTTCATTCCTTGACAATAAAAAAATAATAAATACAGATGACACATGGTATTTTTACAGTAAATTTTCTACTCTGCTTTATTTTTTCCTCAGTTTCAATGATATTTTGCTGAACGTCTTTTCCAAGAATCCTATCAAACTGGCAAACACTGTAAATAGCAATCAAAATGTTTAAACCAGAATTGTATTTGGAAGAGTATGCTGCAGTCTGCTACCAAGCATGTTCAGAGATGTTTATTTAGCCACAGACTGGCTAAAATCATGCAGCTGACTCTGGTTTATTAGATGTAATTTAGGTCATAATATTGAAGCTAATGGAGCAAAGTCGTATTTTCATCAGCTGGTACCTTCCTTCACAGGGAAAGTGTCAGAATCAACATCAGTTGATTCTTTCCTAGATGTGCTCTGCATCTTTCCTGAACCTCAGTCTTGTCCTGCTGTACAATTTTACTACTCAAAAGCCAACAATAAAGCACAACTCCTGCTCCCAAAGAGGCACAAGGCCAGAAAAGCAGCAGCAAGAGGAGCAGGCCTGCAGAGGAGCCCAGAACCCCTTGTATGTCACAGAAGGCAGTGGCAGGAGATGTGCAGGAGCACAAAAGGCACCTCAAGTCAGGCCAAAAATCAAGAAAAAATATGGTAGAGAGGATTTGTGAATTAAGCACCCCTCAGTGACCAAGCCTCTCCTCTCATACATGACACAAGTGGCTGTATCCTCAGGAAAAGCTTTGTTCGGGTCCTTCTCCCACATCAGGGAAGAACTGCCACACCACAGTTGTCCTGATCCCAAAACCTTTTTGTCAGGTTTAGTTCATGGACTAAAATTGCAGCCTTGAAAAGCCAGAGGAGAAAACACTCTGGAATTTAACTCTGGCAGCACAAAGCATCCTTAAATCTAAACAACCTAAGCAGGAAAGCAAAGGTGGGTTACTCGCTGCAGGCTTTTTTCCTGAAATATAGTGCTTATCAAAGGGGGAACTTTCAGAGAAAGAGAGAAATTCTGACACAAGTTCTAATCACATTAAACAGAAGTTGTCGCCTCTCAGCTTTTCCTCCCATATGAGAATAAAACATAAAGAGTGTCAAAACTTTTTTGAGTTGCAAAAATATATCAATTTCATACTTTACATACTTTTTTCATTTTTTTCATTCAGAACACTTCTCGTTTGTAAGTATCTCTTTTTTGCTGCTGGTGTTTTGCATCCTTTCTCTTCAATTTTTAAAGGAAACAGATTGACAAAGGATTAAACAACCCAACAAGCAAAACATTTCATTCCGGCTCAACTCAAAACACCTTCCTCCATTCTCCCTGTCTCTCCCCTCAACCGGGGGCTCCTTTTGGTTCGACTTCATTCTGATTTTTTTTCCCACCAAAAAATGAGAACCCCCCCCGAGCATCCATCCAGCTCCACAAACAGCAAGGCCTCACGGTGCAGAGAAAAAGGCACGAAGAGATGGGCTATGTAACTCTCACTACGACTACAGCCAGGCTGGGAGAAGCAGAGCTGGCGCCGCGCTCTACCGCCGCTGCCACCGCCGCGCCCGCTGCCGCAGCCGGCGTGCCGCCAGGCTCAGGGGCTGCTTCCCAAACTTCCTCATGATCTCCTTGATCCTCGCCAGGTTGGTCTTGGAGATGGTGAAGTCGCACTGGGTGGCGCCCATGTCGTAGCCCACCTCGCAGGTCTTGGTGGCGGCGGTGTAGCCCTCGGCCTTGACGCCCACCACGTACTCGCCCGGGTTGAGGAGACGCCAGTAATCCCCGTCAGCTCCTGGTGGGGGCACAAAATGATGATTTTCAGGGTTTTGGTCCTTTCTCCTTGAGGATAGTGGTGTTTATAAAGTCACAGAATTGCTGAGGTTGGGAAACATCTCTAAGACCCTCAAGTCCAACCATCAACCATCACCATCATGTTGACCACTCAACCATGCCCTCATGTGCCATGACCACAGATGTTTTGAATGCTTCCAAAGATGGGGATTCCACCACATCCCTGGGTAGCCTGCTCCAGTTCTTTAAAACCCTTCACATGAAGAAAATATCACATCTAAACCTTTCCTGGAGCAACCTGATTCCATTGGATGAGGACAGAATCACAGGGGATAAGCTGATTTGGAAGGGACCCACAAGGACCAGCGGGTCCTTTCCCCTTTCTCCTTGAGGAAAGTGGTGTTTATAAAGTCACAGAATTGCTGAGGTTGGGAAACATCTCTAACCCTCAAGTACAACCACCAACCATCATGTTGACCACTCAACCATGTCCTCATGTGCCATGACCACAGAATTTTAGAACACTTGCAAAGATGGAGACTCCACCACATCCCTGGGCAGCCTGCTCCAGTTCTTTAAAACCCTTCCCATGAAGAAATTTGCATCCAAACCTTTCCTGGAGTGTCACAGACATATTTTCTGAAAAATCCCTTTGCCAGGACTTTTCTCCTGAGAAGCTGAGAAGCCTCAGAGGAAAAGAAAAACAATAATTATCTGGTACTGTGGAATGCAACAGTTGCATCTTTGATTGGTCTTATGTAGTTGTTTTTAATTAATGGCCAATCACAGACCAGTTGTCTTGGACTGTCTGGTCAGTCACAAGATTTTGTTATCATTCCTTTCCTTTCTATTCCTTGCCAGCCTTCTGATGAAATCCTTTCTTCTATTCTTTAAGTACAGTTTTAATATATCATTTTCTTTTAATATAATATATTTCATAAAATAATCAATCAGCCTTCTGAAACATGGAGTCAAGATTCTCATCTCTTCTCTCATCCTGGGACCCCTGTGAACACCACCACACCTTGGGGCAACTTGAATCCATTAAATGAGGACACAGAATGGGATAAGCTGATTTGGAGGGGACCCACAAGGACCATTGAGTCCAACTCCCGGCCCTCACCATCCCCAGAAGTCCTTGGCCATGGGTAAGATGACACCACAGGTAGAACCCTCCATCCTCACACCAGGAGGGTGTCCAAAGGGCTGCCTCACCACAAATACCCCTCCTCATCCTGCCAACCCCAGAGAAAAACACACCTCAACCATATTTCCCAAATTACGCAAAAAGGCTCCAAACCAGCTGTAGGTTTTTGGCAGTTGGAAAGGCCTGAGGAAAAATCTGGTGATTCCCATGGGGTAAAAAAGACTTCTGCCAAACCAATCCTAACCGAGGGATCCAGAGGAGCCCCAGTGAAATATCCACATCACACATCCCTGATCAGACTGCCGACACAGATTTTGGTGCTGTTTGTTAGGAAAAGTGTGTGAATACATAATATTAACTCACTTTGAGGAGTAAGTAAATATTCCCTTCTATCAAGCCTTACATTGGCGTTTATTACACTGATTTTCCTACAAAGTAAATTCACCAGGACATTTAACCATCTGGTTAAATGTAAAGGCACAAACCAAGATCCTGCAATCAACTAACCTACTCAGAAAAATGTATTTTAGCACCTCATTGAATCAGGAGTTTTTGGTTTCTTCTTTTTCCCCACGAATGATCTCAGATATATCCATTTTATGTACCCATATGAGCATCAGGATTGTTTTAGGCTTCTTTTAAATATGATTTTAACCACTGAATATTCTTAGCTGTGAACTGAAAAAGGGGAAAAACTATTACCTAAAATTAGTTTTTCACTCTGTCCTGGAGGAACTCCCTGTGAAGGAAAGTACATATTCAAATATGCAATTCCATGTAAAAATAGAAATGGAACATCTCTGCATGAGGAGGGGTTGAGGTTTTTTAGCACTGATGAGACCTGACAGCCTTACTAACACCAGCCTGGGCTCACTGGCAGTGCAGAGCGCAGCAAAAACTGAAGATGATTTGAATAAAAATATTTTATTTTGGGGAAGGATCAGGCTGGTCAGCCTCTGTTTAAAGAAACAGTGATTTAATTTAGGATTATATAAAATAAAAAAATGCGTTTGCAAACAGCGAGTGTTAACAAATGGCAATATTGATGATACCCTGACAGTGCAGCCTCTGGGTGTGCCAGAATTGTCCCTGATCAGGTCCATTCTTACATCCCAATATGATCAGGGGGGTTTTAAGTCAATTTGACCACATTTGGAGTGATAATAAGGCCCACATTTTCTGTTCCTCATGACTCAGGCATTTTTAGGAAAGGCTCTAAGAGAGGCTCTTTATTCAGCTCTCCCTCACCACTGGGACTGTTGGAAGCTGAACAAAAGGCCAAACCACAAATCTGCCCAAATTCCTCCTATTTATCCCCAAGGGCTCATTTTCAGCTGTAAATGCTCTGGCAATACCAGGGGCCAGGCAGAGGGCTCTGGATCCCCTGTGGGATATCACATCCCTGCTCCCAGCCTGGCTTTAGCCCCAGGACTGCAAAGCTGACCCACATTTTCCTGACACATTTAGCAGCCAGTTCATCACAACCCCACACAGGGCCAGGAATAAACCTACACATTCACACCCCACTGGAATTCATTGCAAATCTGGGTATTAAACCTTCAGCAAGGATGCACATTCCCTGTTTCCATTTAGAACCAAGCAGACAGGAGTATTCTGTCAGCTGTCAGTGCCCAGAATTTAATACCAGGCTAAAAGGTAGGGGTTTTCTGAAAATCAGATTAAAACCAGTAAAAAAAAAAAAAAAATCAGAACAGATGGCAAAAAGAAACACAATTAAAAACACAGATAAATTTAGTAAATAATAGGTTTGCTGAAATAATAGGTTCCAGTGGGAGCAGGCTGGAGGCAGACTGCATCCATACCCACCTACTGGGGCTGGAAAGGGATTGCCATGTCTGCTTTGATAAAATAACAATGCATTACAGGACAAAGATAGCATTGCTATGAATTCAATATGTCAGACTACTCCATAAATTCCACAATTAAGAGAAATGTCCTTTGAGCCTGATAGGACAGACCTTAGTTACAATTAAGCAATTGTGAAAGTGCAAAAGCAGTTTTTACATTTAAATGTGCCAAACTGCAAAGATTTAAATACATTATAAAAATCTTTCTAATGATTTTTTACCAACAAAAGACTCTCCAGGAAACCTGGCCATAGTGCTGCATACTCAAAGCATTATACACAACTTAAACTCAACTTTTCTGTATGGACTAGGCAGCCAGGAGTGAGGCTGAAGATTTTTAATACCAGAATTATGCTTAGCTTGGACTAATTAAATAAATATTTAATAGATAAATATATTTAATATATTAAATATTACTAAATGCTACTTCAAAATCCTTGGGGCTTGGTACATTAAGTATACTGAAATCACTGCAAACTTACCAAAATATTCATAAAAAATTTCTGGACACTGTGTGAAATTAAATTAATTACACCTTAATCAGAAACCACACAGAAGCATCTGTCTTTGAAGTCTGGCTGTGACACAGAAGTGTTTCACCAGGAAGAAACTGCACATTTCTCCATCAATATTTACTTTGTCATTCCCCAAATTACAGGAGGCAACCCCCAAAACTGTCTTGGCACCATGGAGGAGGAAAGGTGCATTTGTCCACCCAACTGAACTCTTTTTGCAGAGGCTTTCTCACAGAATCCAGCCCAAATCTGACTGTAACAATGTGGAATCACTCAGACTTAATCAATAGTTACATCTGCATTGAGGGAAAATGGAATAATTCCCCACAAAGCTCTTGCTCCTGGAATCAATGCCTTCAATTAGCCCATTAATGGTGTTAGCTGAATGTCAGCATCCCTCTCCTTCCATCAGGGATATTGTATCCAGGAGAAAGCCAAACCAATCTACTTTTATTTCAGTCCACAGGAAGAAGCAAAGGAATTTTCTCAAACCTTTAAATGTTATTACAGGGCTTTTACAGGCAACTTCTGTCTGGCTCCACAGGGCAGCTGACCACGGTAATGCAGCAGTGAAACAGCAGAGCTCTGCTCACTTGAAACAAAACTTTTGTGAATAGAGATCCTGGCCATAATTCTTCCCCTGCTTGGCCTATTTTTACATCAAGGCAACTCAGAGGTTTAAATGGGCACATTTTTCATTTTAAAAGGTATAAATGAAGGGAGACTGCTGACAATTTGCCTTCTTTCTCTGGAGTTATACATGTCATTTTAGCTTCTTGGCTCCAGCATAAATCCTCTAGTTTCAGGGACTAATGAGATGTGTATTGTTATCTGGATAATATGAAACAAGATAGAACTTTTATGTTCCCAATTCCACAGTGACTCCAGAGTGTGAGCTTAAACGTCTCATTAAAAAGAAAAATTAAAGGGAATGAAATAAGTATTTTTATTTTTACTAACAATTGCAGATGGCCTTGAGCCATGGAGGCTCAGCAATAAGTCAAGATGTAAATAGCTGCAAGATTCCCTGAGTGTTACAAGGTGGATTTTGAGATCTTGCACATTTATTGCACTTTATTTTTATTTTTTTTCATGACAATCCAGAGTACAGGGAGCTGGAGATTAATCACGTATTGCATTAACTCAGAGCAGTACATTAATTTTGTTAACAGAGTAACACAACCCACACTTTATGGCAGACTTTCAGCACTGCCAAGGCTTCCAAGACAGGAAAAAACAGCTGATTACTTTAATTCCCACTGTCATTTCCCAGTGGTCCCATTTTGAAATATTTAAGGCAGAATCATTATTGCCTAATTAAGTATCTGTCATTCAATGCTTTCTTTCACAATGGAGACACAGTAGCACTGAAATTAATCATAAACTAAGATATTCCAAGATTCATTATTGGCTCAGATCACCTCTTGTGGCAAACATGAAAGATTTGGAAGTCACAAAGCTCTATGATATTCCAAGGCCTGAAATCAGTTTGTGTGTCCAAATCTGCCTCACTCTGTGCTTCAGTGGCAAAGCAAATGGAAGCGGTAGCAAATGAAGAGCACAGAACCCCAGCAAAGAGATAAAAACCCATAAAATTAGCATTCAAAAAACATGTGGATATGGTACTTAGGAACATGGTTCTGTGGGTTTGTTTTTAACTACAAATCTGTTCTTTTGCACTGATATTTTGTATTTTTGGGGTTTTTTACCTGTGCGAATGTCATGGTTAACACCTTCCACTGAAATAACAGCATTTGGGATTCCCTTCCCATGCACATCTTTCACAATGCCTTTGATGCCACGATGGACCTGGGAAGAGAATAAAAAAAAACAAGTAAATATTGCACAGCAAAGAACAGTAATTGTCCTAGGAACTTACACTGAATCTTTAATTCCATAAGTGAATTATATTTCTTTTTTCCTACTTTATGGCTCACAACATGGTGAAACATCATTATTAACCCTATAGCAGCCCTTCAGGCATTAACTCGTGAATCAGTTTGTGAATTTTGTTAGGGTTCCTGAGGCATCAAATTCAAGATATAGATAAAAAGAACAGATGAAGCAGCAGACACAATATTTGGGTCTTTTTCCAGAAATCCTTTCTAGCAAGCTCAGCACTCACATCACATTTTCAGATGCTTCATTATTTTATTCCCTGGAGTCAAACCAGCCTGGTTGAAGTGCTATGTCTATCAAAAATACCAATAACCACATAATTAGTCATGCAAGAAAAATAGTAGGTGTTGGAACCATGGTTGCTAAGAATTTTAGACTTTCTGTACCATCACGCACTGACCCCCAAAAAACCCAGTACATTTAACCTAAAACCATAAAAATACTTCCAAAATTTAATAATAAAACTAAAATTTTAAGTGTGTAGTTTAAATAAAAGTGTATAATATCACATAATAGAAAACTTAAAGTTTAATGTTTTACAATATAATATGTATAAAATAAAAGTTTTAAACTTCTTCTTTGCCTTCTTCATCACCTTCTTCTTCATAAATTTAAGTAGTGTTATATAATTAAATAAAAAAGAGCATATTACAAAACACAAGTAATTAATTAAGTTAAAAATAAAAATAATTAAAGAATCATTTCTTAATTAGACAATTCATCCTTAAAAAATCTTGTAAAACCACAACTCCATTTTTTAGTTGATTAATAAAGTACTGTAAAACTCACAACTTATAAAACTAATATAAATAAGTATAAAAATATATCAATATCATAATATATTATATATAATATATTATATATAATATTATATATAATATATTACATATTATAAATATAACATAGTATAAGGAATATAACATAATATAACATAACATATAATTATAATAATATTATATATTATTAATGTATTATTGATAAATATAGAAATATAAAAACTAATACAAATAAAAACTAATAAACATCTAAATCCAAACCAAAAATGCCAGGTGAATACCTGTTCCATAAAAACAATCAGGGACTCGCGGTTGTTTTCCCACTCCTCTGGCAGCTCGCTCTCGTGGGGATATTTGTCACAGCCAACATAGATGGAGAGCTCAAAGCAGTTTGTGTGCAGGTAGCTGAAGTCATTGATGCCTGCCAATATTGGGGAAAAAGGGAACAACTTCATGGCCTTTTTAATCTATTGATCAGATCTGTTTTTACACAAATTAATGTAACTTCTGTAAACGCAAGTTGGGTATTCATCTAGCCGGCTTACCCTGCAGATTTGGAAAGGAAAAAAGATTTTAGAAATGCTAAATGTTCTGTAACAAATCACCAGAGTGCTCAAGGCCAGCTTGGACAGGTGTCCTGGGCTGCAAGATGTGGCTTTGGGTGTGTATTCAATTCCCATCTGTCAGAGCTGGGGCAGTTATCTCTGTTCATGGGGCAGTTTTTTCTTTACCTCTCCCACAACCCATCCTCCCTCCAGGAGATCTCTTCTGTTCATGGGCCATTTATTATTAATTATCTGCTGTCCATGGCCAGTGAGTGTCCCTGCAGGGCTGATCCAATCCCAGCATCCCATGGGGAGATGCTCCGCCCAGGGGAGGAGCCAAGCATTCCTACCTGGATCCAATCTGAGCTTTGGGACACCCCAGCAGCCTTTGCCCCCTGCATTGCCAGAGGAGCAGCTTTGTGCTGCCCTGCATGGCCAGAGGGAGCCCAGGCCCATCTGCAGCAGCCCTGGAGCTGCAGAGGAAAACTCCCCCCTTGTGCAGGATCCCTGCTGCAGCAGAGCCACAGCTGGCACTGCAGGAGGGCTGAGCCCCCATGGGATGGGGCTGGGACACCACCCTGACACACAGGGGGGCAGGGCATGTTCTGATTCTGTCAATGTTTTTTTGTATTAGTGCATTTCTTATTTTATTTTTATTTTCTTCCTTAATAAAGTACTCTTTATTAAGGAAGAGTTAAGGGAGGGGGTTTGCATTTGCCATTTCAGGGGAGGCTCCTGCCTTCTTTAGAAGACACCTGTCTTTTCAAAGCAAGACAACAGGCCTTGGAGCAATCTGGGATAGTGAAATTTGCTCCAAGCAAGGGTGGAACTCGATGGGCTTTAAGGTCCCTTCCAACCCAAACCCTTCTGGGATTCTGTTGATGGGGAAGATGGGAGCACAACCAGGAGAAAGGTCTCTATAAGAAAAAATTGTTCTTTTTGAAGAAAGCCCTAAGCATTCCTAATCCTGGACATTACCCACAAAGCAGCTCTCCCTTATGAGTGCCCTGGGTGGAAATGGAATCTGTCTGTGTTGGGTGGCAGGAAGGTGCAGCTGTTCACCCAATTCACAGAATTCCCATTCGATAGAACCCTGAATGCCAGCACACAGAGCTATGTGCTCACAGGGGCTGTTATGTAAAAGTGATTTATCAGAGCAGTTGGTGAAAGAGTTCCTCAGTCTGTTTTCCTCCCTGAGTAATCTAACAGATAGAAAAGCCAGAAAAATCAAGGCAGTAATAATTATTTTATGTTACATATGGTGTCTGTAGTTTGTAAGAAAGGAAAGGGTCTCTTTTCTCCCTGTCATAGTGCTGCAGAAGATTGGGATTGCACTGTTGTTCTGCAATAGGGATTCCCATCAGAAATATCTCCTAATCAAGCCCTAGGAACCCCAGTGCCTGCAGTCTCTGAGGAGCTGCAGTTTAATTCTGCATTACAGAGCCCACTGTAACCTTTGCAAAGGGCTGGAGCACTAAGGAGAGCTGTCTTTACATACACAGCTGAAATATTTCCATTCTCCAGGTTTCTCTCCAGTTTCTCACCATTATTTTTCCTCCTTATTAGTTCTCCACTCTCACACTGATAACGAGATACAAAACATGAACACTAGAGGAAGAAATTCTGTGAGCTTCATTTCTTGTTCAACCTGCACTTCTAATAAGAAAATATTTTGAAATATGTTTGTTAATGATCATTAATTGTTATGTTTTAAATAGCAAAGATTTGCAGGAGTTGCATTCATGGACTGCTTCTGAGCAAGAAGAGTTAAACCAAAATCGCTGTTCCTGTCCAATTAGCAGTAGTCAAGTATTTAATGAGCCCTCAGTGCCTTCTGGAAGCAGAGCAGGAGGATTATATAATACAGATGTTAAACTTTTCACTTTTGTTGATGGGGAAAACCTAAACATCAGCCAGTGGCATATGCTACTCTACATAAATGTGCTTCCCCTCCACTTGAGAAACAGCCACAATTATTTTCCCCTCACATACTGTATAACATTCTGATTAATCTGCTGTGAAATGTTTTGCCATACACACTAATTGCTCAGTTTTAATACATGTATTTAAGAAAATGGCTTTGTGTTGCCAAGAGCAACTCTTTCCTAGTGCCTGAACATGCAAATCCAGCTTCAAAAATACAGGAAATAAAATTAAATCAATCCCTTTTTTGCCTTTGTGCAGTTTATCCAGTGCAGAAACTTTATATGTAAAATTGCTGGAGAACTTGCACTCACTGCAGTCAAAATAATGTGCAGGAAAAATCATGGCTGGGTTTTAAAGGCATGAGGAGGTGCTGGGTATCTGTGGTGCACATGCTTCTCTAGGGACTGAAATGAAATCTAATGTTTCTAAATTAAATAAATATTAAAGATTTATTTGATATTTAAATAAATATTAAATATTTTCTAAATTAAATTTATCTAATGCCATCTAAATTTTCCCATGGCATGAGCAGTGAGAAGTTTCTGTGCAGGACCACTGCAAGGAAGCAGGTGGATGAGGAGAGGGTGTGGTACAATGAGGAGATGCCACTCAAACAAAAGGATGAGTAGGACAGCTTCTGCAAGCACTTTTTAGGAAGTCTTACCATAAGAGCAGGACATAAATCATAATTAAAACATCATCAAGAAATAAAGCAAATCAGATGAAACAAATCCAAAATGTAATTGGTCCTAAGAAATCAGGGTAATAATTCAGCATCTATATTGTCCATCTTTACTTAATGGAACTCAGTGTGACAGCTGTTAGTGACAAGGCCAATGTCATCTTTTCTGGATTGATTCATAATGATGTTTCTTGTAGCACTTAGGAAAATTAAATTCATAAATTAGATAATTAAGTGGTCATGTCAGGTCTTAGAGAATGCTTAAGAATCTGCAGAAATGCATGGGAATGTACTTTCAGACCTAAGAGTTCAAGGTTTCCCCCAAACTCGTCCAACAGTTTTTAACCTCCTGAAAAAATATTTGAAAAGCTAATTCTTGACTGCAGCCTTTAAAGGCCGGCCAGCACTAACTCCACATGGGCCAACATAAAAGCCATAAAAGCCACGTCCAAAATCCCAAAATGTTTATGCAGTGGACCTGCAAGTTCCAAACATGAGCCAGGTTCACCTAAACCTGGTTTCAGAGACACTGGCCTGCATCTGTTTGCCATTAGTGCTGCTCCTGTTGTCAGCCCACTGGTGGCAGATGCCTGTCTCATTTCCTAATTTCAGGGAATATGTTGCTTGACTGATGCACTTAGAAAAACACGAGGATTTTGAGCAAAGGCAAACGTGCCTAATGCTGTTAAAAATGGGTTTCTAATTGGGCTTTCCTGGAAATCAAGGTTTTGGCCACACCACAGGCCGTGGCTTCCCCTCTGTGCTCCCTAACAGGGTGACAGGCTTGGGTGTGTGGAGATTGATCCAGGCTGTGATTTATCCTGGCAGCAGGAATGCCTGTGCAGCCCATGCAAAATTTAAGTGTAAGGACATCCAGGTGTTTTAGAAATAGGAGAGTAGCAGGCAAACAGTAGCTTTTTATGGCATTTCATTGCAGCTGCCAGTGAATGTGAGTGAGGGCTGATCTGAGGCTGATTTCAGTCAGCATGAGGCTGCAATCAGGATTTCCTTATCTGGAATCTCTCCCTGAAGCCCCTGCTTCAGCTCTGACACTGGCTGTGGTGCTTGGCAGCAGTTTTCTTCTTGTCACCTTGTGTGGGGGTTTGGACAGGGTTGGTTTCTTCCTGACAGTCTTGACTGCACAAAGTTCTTAAAGCTAATGCTCTGCATGTGCAGTTTTGGAAAACTTGGCTGCAAAAATATCAGTCACTGGGTATTAATGACAGCAACGGCATCTGGAAATATTCCTCCTAGAACACACATTTTTGTGTGCTGCAATGCACACCAGGCAATGCTGGCTTTACCCTAATTAGCAAGGGAACACTAATTGGAGCTTTGCCACTCACTTCCAGCCACGGTGTGCCACGAGGCTCCGTTGACAGTGCCATCCTCCTTCTGGAAGTCCTCGGTGTGGCAGGCCCTCCTCCTGGCGTCCGTCATCAGGCGGTGCGTGGAGGCGTAGGAGTAGGCCAGCCAGCGGAACACGTGGTCGTCAGGGGTGGGAGTGTAGTCCTGGGTTTTCCACATGGACCTCACCATGTCGTAGGGATAGGCCACCACCAGCTCTCCCCCCTGCAGGTTGCCACCCAGCACAAAAGGGATTTTTTCCATCCAGGCGATGATCGCCCGCGTCTCCACCGCCACCTGGGAGAAGTGACAGCAGATCTGGTTCAGCATGGAAATCTGATTGTGCTGCTTCAAAGGAGAGCAGGATCAGGAGTTGCTGAGAGTGAGAGGCCAGCAGAAGGGATGTGGGCAAGGAGAAGGTCTTATTTAAATTATGGTACTTGTCAGCCATTTTAGGAGGTCACAGACATCCCTTAAGAGCTAACAGAACCTTCTCATCAGTGATTTAAGGAACAGGAACATCAATGTCAAGTGAGGCCCAGAGCAGGAACTGACAGATGTGTCAGATGGTGCCATTGCTTTTCCTCTTTGTTTCCAAAATAAGGGATTTTAAACATGGAAGTAAAGCCCATAAATTAAAACACAGGAAGTTTCAACTCAAACTTTTCCATGAGGGTGGCAGAGCACCCCAACAGCTGCACAGGGAGGTCATGGAGTCTCCCTCTCTGGACACATCCCAAACCCACCTGGATGTGTCCCTGTGTCACCCTGCCTTGGATTGATCTCCAGAGGCCCCTTTAAACTGTAACTATTCCATGATTGGGTGATTCTAAAGTACTAAAAACCACCACAGTGAAGCTGCTATTAATAGCTGACATTATAATTCAAAGGTCAGGCCAAAATAAGTTAAATTTCTGGCACTACCATCCAATAAACAACTTTAACATAAGCCACAACACAGGGTTTGCATATTCCTGATCTGTTGCTGTGTTTTTCAAGATAAGAACATATTTCAAGTAAGAGCAAGGAAGAAAATCCCAGGACAAATCTGCAAGTGAGTTTTCAAAGAGCTCATCTCTGCCACAAAACCTGGGAGAAGCCTGATCCACATGGCTGAGCTCATGCTGTGCTTCTCCTTGTCTACCTTGCTGCCTAAAAGTTGGGTTTGGAGTTCCTCCAGGTTCTTGCAATAGCTGATGGAAAAGAAAATCCTCTAGGAAACAGTTTCTTCCTTGAGACCTGTCTCTAAATCCTGGGCGGAAATGGTGCTTTTGTGGTGCATTTTTATTTCCACTGACATAAAGGGAATTATTGACTTAGATCAGGTGTGGAACTTCACTCCCAGGTTATTCATCTCTTGAAAATGTAAATCTCACTCTCTCAGGACATCCCAGCTTTTGTGTCCCCTCTCCTGGCCTTACTCACAGTGGCATTTTCGGACAGGTACCAGTCAGGGATTGGAATGTGATGGTTTGGAACTTTTCTTTTACTCTTCTTCTGATCTTCTGACTCCCAGAGCAGAGAGTTTAGGTCAGGGAAGTTATTGTTGATGTCAATGCCATCCTGAGTCCATCGTCCTAGAGACCAGCCCCCCAATTCTGAACCCTTGGATTAAAAATAAAAATAAAAATAAAGAAAAAATAATTAATGTTCATTCAGATTACAGAAATCTATGAGCCCCTGCAGAATGTTTGGGAATGTCCCAGAGATAATTCTATAGAGAGAAATGGAAGATTAATTATTTAATTAACTGAATTAAATCATTGGCACTTTAAAAAAGTTTTCGTATGAAATCTTGAATGAGGTGAAGGAAAACCCATGAAAATTTACTTGAGGTTAGCCAAAATATATCTCTCAATGGAGACAGCAGACATTTCCTCCCATGACTATGATTTTGACTTTCCTATTCCAGTCTTCTGCAGACTGCTCTGGAAGATTTTCCAGTGCAGTTGACCAGCCCCTACAATTTTTCCTGGTGTCTGTCTTCATCCAGACTGAATTATTACAATGCCCAACACATCATGCTCTCCTTAAAGGCACACTATAAAATTTCAGCTGGAGAGGAATGCAAATTTTCATGTGCTGAGCTTGGTTTCTAGTGAGAAACAGATTGCACAGATTTTCCATTTTCCATAATGGTGTTCCCATGGCTCTGTACACCTCAGGATGGTTTGCTCTGGCAGTCTTTGTGACTCTCCTTACATGTACATTTTCCTGTTAGCCAACATCACATCAAACACTGTTTCTTTCAGCTCTTTCCCAAGATGGTTTGTGTTTACTTTGATGTGCCCATCTTTTCATTTTTAAAATTCGATCGCTCACAAAACGTGATCTTCGAAGAAAATAAAGACAGGAGGAGCATTTTTGATTCATCTACTGGAAAGAAAAGAATTCCTTGATGTGTTCATCATCCCCATTACCGCTTTATAGGCCTTGTCATATCCATCAGGGTTCACTGAGGGCAGCAGGTGGATCCTGGTGTCCTGGATGAGGTGCACAATGCGTGGGTTCCCAGCCAGGTATTCCTGGCACATGAACTGCATGAGCAGAAGGATCAGCTCTCGCCCAAGCACTTCATTCCCATGAGCTCCTGCAATGTAGTGGAATTCTGGCTCCCCTGTGGACAAAAAAAACACGGAGCAGAGTTGTAGTCAGAGCAGCAAATCAAATCTCTATCAAACAGCTTCAATGTCAATCAGCAACATTTCACTTAAGGAGTGAGGAGAAATGTCTCAGCTGCACAGATGAGAGGTGAAAATGTCACTTTGGAGAAATAAATTGCTTTCTGTTGCTATTTTAGAACTGCCTTATATATTAGTGATATCTAAAGCCACTGAGTAAAAGCTCTAAAACCCATATTTGATTAAACAGATCTTTAATTATACTCACAACTCCAGCATGTTAGAGGTAGATTTTACCAACAGTTTTGATGGTCTAAAAGTCACATGAAAAATACTCTGCTAGAAGAGAATTCTCCTAATAACCAATCTAAACATGTTATCAGTGTATTCATGGATACAGCAAAGCACAAAATTCCTTTATTCCAAAAGCTGTTCCAGGCACTATCACAGTGAGAAGGACCAAAGACTGAATGAGTTTCTTTGGTGCTGAAGAATTATATCATGGTAGGAAACTGAACCCCAGGCCTCATTATTGAAAAAATATTTGGAGATTTGACCTGTCCCTGCAATGCATTAAGGTAAGTTTCTATCCATAGCTACATCAATGCCATAACTAAAATTCATTCTCCAGTATTAAAGTTCACTTTTATTTTACTTCTGTGAAGAATGATCATTAAAGAATTGGATCCCACATTCAAAATGTCCTCTATTTGTGCTCACCCTCCCCTTCCCAATTTAGAAATACAGCACTGAGGTTCAACCCACATACATTTGAAATCTTTGCTGCCATGAATATAATTCCATCAGTGATAATTAGTGCAGATATGGAGGAAGAGGAGGGGGAAAAAAGCCAAATTCCAACACCCCTTCAACAGATTTAGTGAAGATTAAAATCCTAACCAACTTCGTGTTCTCCTGGGTTGTCAGAAATCTCCACTGCATACAGCTTCAGTCCTTGGTGGCTTTTTCCAATATTGTAAATTCTTGTGATATTTGGGCACATTTTATTCACAGTTTTCATCAGCTGACAACAACAAAAAAAAAAAAAAAGAGGAAAAAAAGAACATATTTAGACAATGCATCATCAAATAGATCCACAATGAACTGGTTCATTCTAAATTGGATGGGGCACAAACTCTTCATTTTTTTATCTGATTACCTCTTAGTTGTAAAACCTTTATGTTTAGTTCATGAATTTATAGCTCTGCTATCTCATTTTTAAAACATTATGCCATAGAGAGTAATTAAAATAATGGAGAGTGAATAAAACAACCACATTCTGTGAGGTACAATAGATAAAGGACTTGAGGTGACACAGGGTGTCAGTGCACAGAAATGCATTTATTTTGCAGGTTTCCACATTTCAACAGAAATATGAATTTTTCCACTCTGCCAGGAAGCAGAGATATTGCATTAAAAGCAGTTCTATTTTAGCTAAAGGCTAAAACCCCGCTGTATAAATAATGTTACTGACTCAGACCTGGGTTTACTAATTTCTCTCCTCACATCTTCTTCAAACTGAGGCAAACTGAGCTGGCTGATGGTTCCCTGCATCCATGCAGCTCCATCCATGAGAAATGGGGAATGTGAGCCTGTAGTCTCAGAGCTCCTCTGAAACCCCTGACTCTGAAACTCCCACGTGCAGGAGCTTTCCTGATGTGCCTGGCACTCCAGTGCTCACAGGATACCAGGAGCATCAATTTAGAGAAGTGGTTGAAAGTATGGAAATGCTCATTAATAGTGAGAAAAATGCCCAGAACCAAGTTCAAAGTCTGTTACATTCAGTGGAAATATTTGTGTTGGCCTCAGCAAACTCCCCATCATCTCTTTAATTGCAAACATGTGATTATTTTTTGAGTCAAAGAACTTTTCCTGCATTAGACCTTTGTAGTAGCATTTACTGTGACTCTTTTGGTAATGTAATGCAGTGGAGTTAATGGAAATACAATGCTGAAAATCAACATATTTCATATTTGACCTTCTCATTCTTATTTCCTACAAATGGCAAAATATTTCAACTATGATCTGGGTTTGTTGTCTCAAAGATAAGGTTGTACTCAAATACCCACATCAAACATGTAACAGCTTCCTGTACCACATGAATAAATACAAATACATATGTAGAAATTAAAAATTAAGAAATATTTTGGGCTGTGAAACAATTCTGCACACAAAACACAGTGAGGGTTCCCATTGACTGGAAGAAGAATACTGAATGCTCTTTTACAAGGAGAAAACTGGAGCTGCAAATTTCATCTTCCTAAGCAGAGAGTTCTATTAAAATCACCTGACACTGAGAAAATCCCTCCCTCTCACAAATACTTGACTTATTGCAATGTAATGTGATGCTTCCAGAACATGGCCCAGGGAACAGCATCTCCTCCTCCCTCAGTGTTGATAATAAATCAAAAAACAGCATTTTTCTAGGATGCTTTGTGGTGAAGTAGCCATGAAAAGTGACAATAATGCATTTTTTGGGGGTTGGGCATGTTTTTGATTGTTGTTGTTTGTTTGTTAGTTTTTAATAATAAGTTGATTCTGGCAGTTATTATTACACTTTGCACTGAGGTTTTGAGAATAGTTTTGGGTATATAGGACTTGCTGCAATGCAACCCATAACATTCTGCCCATCAGCAATTAAAATCCAATGAGCTCTAAAAAAATTAACTATTTTGTCATAGAAGAAAGCAGAAATTGGGAGAGCACACAGTTCACAATTCTCAACCACAGTCACAGATTTTCCTTTTGTATGAAGAGTGCAAAAACATTCTGGTTTAAAGCTGTGTTTTTTTCCCCCCCAAGATATTTCTAACCTGACCAACCTGTCTTTCTGCAATGACAACATAAATGCATTTTATTTTATTGTTCTTGACAGTAATTATGCCAATTGAGTTCCTACTCGTCTAATCTTTGTGCTAAGAAATATAGGCCATGAAATCTCTACCAAAATAAACGTGTGACTCAGTACACAATTGCTCAATAAAACCCAGTGGTGATTCATGCAGTATAAATACACTGAAAACCCAGCGCACAGCAAGTGATTCACACACATCAAGTCCAAACATATTATCTTTATATTTGAAGGGAAAGTGGGCAGAAATATTTCTTCAGGACAGCCCACACTTGTGTCTGTGGTGATATGAAGCAAGATTAAAAACAATAACAAAGCCAAGAACTTGTTTGAAGTTAAAGGAACAAGATTAACAACGCTGGTAGGTTTAAAATCATTATACTAGCAGAGGTTTTTTTCTGGTGTTTCTGGTGAATTTTTGCTGATTTTCACAACTGTGAATATGGAATTGGACTCCAGAGTTTATTCTGATTATTCAAACCCACAGAAATATATAAGAATACTGATGACTAAATCAGAGTCAAATCTAGAAGGAGAAATCACTGTGTCATTCACCACTCAAATGCATGTGGAAGAAAAGAGTGGCATATTATATGAAAATACTTCCTCTGTCACACTGTGTCACCTCTTTCAGGTTTATTTATGTGCAAACTAAGACTTTGGGACTTTATTGGACTGCTTCTTTTAATAGATTTAAACAGAGAAAATATTTTTAAAACATTGCAGACAGAGTTTAATAATATTTTTAAATTAAAGTAATACTTTAATTTTTGTGGAATTCAGATTCCACATGGCTGAAAAGCTGCACCCTTCCACCCTCCATCACACACCATCCTTCTTTGCCTACCTGCCTCATCTCCTTGTAGTTGTGATGCTTAAAGTCCAGATTATCAGTGGTTGTCATTTCATTTCTTCTGTGGTAATAATTGTTTGGGTCTGAGAAAAGAAAAAAAGGAGTTTTCTCATGCTTAGGAATTTCAAATATAGAGATGCTTTGGCACAATGCACATAAGAAACAAAGAAATCTGAATTCCATTGTCCTGTGTTTATCTAAAACAGGTTTTCAAAAGCAAAACACAGAGAAACAACTAATTTGAAATATTTCTAATCACTGCACAAATCAATTCATAGAGATCCAAACAAAAGCAAGGAGGCACCAGCTTTCCAGACAGCTCCTCTGCACAAAAACCTGAATTTCAACAGAAAAGCAGAAGGGCAGCCTTAGGCTGCAGAGGAGGGAAAAAGTCATTGGGAAATGATGAGTCAGATGCAAGATAAAAGAGTGGAAGAAAAATCAAATTAGAGGAAAAAGCCACAGTAAATGCTTTGTGTCCACTTGATTAATTTACTATTGCGAGGAATTTTTGTTTTCCTGATGAGTATTTTCCATTTGGAAAGGAATAATTTGGCATATTAAGCATTCCTAATTATCTTCCAAAGGAGTTCCTGTGGAAGTCAGAGGTGCTTGCTACTAAAAATTTACATATTCATTTCTTTATGGATATCTTTTATAGTTTGTTCATTTTGAAGTATCAAAGAAAGATATGTGGTTAGAAAAGAATCTTCTGTTTCCTTGACATTCCAGGCCCTTCACCTGGAAAAAAGAACCAAAAAGAAACAGGACAAGACTGTTATGGCTGAGCTTTGAAGTTCCTGATAAATGTGCTCCTAGCCTAATCTATTGTGATTTATTTTCAGAGACAAACAAGTCTATTTGGAAAACATCAGACACATTCCTTAACTTGCCACATCTGGGATGTCTGGAATTCTGAGTAATCATTTGTCCAGCCAGTGGCTGTCAGGCTTCTATGAAAAATTGTTTCCCTTCACACAAAATCATCTTCATTGGTTTAAAATTATTGAGGGAGAAGCGAAATATGAAAAAGTTTAAATGTCATCCTTATTGCAACACAAAAAGACATTGTCTCTAGAGAGAAAAAACTGTTTTAAACCATTATATTCCCATAATATCACCTGTCAGCTGTGACTTTTTTTGTGGGGGGGGAAAAAAGAACAATTCTGAGTAGGAAAAATATGTAGTTACCATCCCACAGCAACAAATCCTTACTGAACTTATGGAAAACTCACAACAGTGTGAAATACTTTATAACATTTTTAAGTTTCATATTTCCTGCATCAAAACCACTAAATATTCTCATAAAATTCTGAAGTTTTGGGGTTTTTTTGCACTATTTAAGTTATTTATGAAATGAAACATGCAAGTCCCATTAAGCTTCACAGTAACATGGCCCATCCTTGTCTCCACTTCCATTTCCTAATCTACAGCAGAGATGCTGGAAGGTCAGTTGAAGGCTGCTCTACAAATATGACAGCAAAATGTCCCCAAAAAAATCTTGTCTCATCAAAACCCAGGTTAATTTGTAGAAATTGCTCATTGATATACTGATGAAAAATGGAAATCATAAAGAAAACCACCACTTCTTCTAAAAGGAGACGATGTGTTCAATGCCCCACAGAATATCTTCATCATTGCAAAAATACCTCCACGTTGTAAAAATATAAAAATAAATGTCATAAAACTGCCAGGATGTTGAAAGTTTTCTGTATCCCCATGAGCCAAAATATACAGCAACCGATTTTTTTCCCTGATACTTTAATCCCATGCCTTTCAAAGCCTGGCTCTTTTTCCATACATCAAACACTAATATCATGGGAATGACTGTGAATGCTGTAGAGTTGGTGGAAACTTAAAAAAACTGCAGTGAAAATGATGGTATCTCTGGCCCTTCCTCAACAACAGAGCTCAATTTGACAGTTCCCTGGGGAATTAACACTCATACTTTGCCAGGCTCTGCTGCAGCCTGCTTGGATAGCTGGAGTTCTGCTGCAGCAGGAATACAGATTAGAACATTAAAAGCTAAAATGTAGAAAGGCAAACAAAGCTTGCACACAGCTGGATGGGTCCACTTTGGTAAAAATTTTTTTTTGAATAAAACTGAGAATAAAAGACTGAAAAACTCAAACCACAGAAGATTTATAAGAGAAATATACTGATTTATTCACAGAAATTCTGGAGAAAGTCTCTCTTTCTTCCATGGAGAAAAGATCCTGCAAAACTGTGGCACTCACGTTTATACAGAGGGATATATTAGCTTTTCTCTACCACTAATCTGTCTATGCATCAAAAGTAGAGGTAATGAAGTTTGCTGGGAGAGGCATCTTGTAAAGATGGACAAGTGACTAAAGCTGTTAAATCACAGATTCACAGGAGCACAGATTGGTATGGGTTGGAAGGAACCTTAAATCCCATCCAGTGCCACCCCTGCCATGGCAGGGACACCTTCCACTATCCCAGGCTGCTCCCAGCCCTGTCCAACCTGGCCTTGGGCACTGCCAGGGATCCAGGGGCAGCCACAGCTGCTCTGGGCACCTGTGCCAGGGCCTGCCCACCCTCACAGGGAACAATTCCTTCCCAAAATCCCACCTAACCCTGCCCTCTGGCTGTGGGAAGCCATTCCCATTGTCCTGTCACTCCAGGCCCTTGTCCCAAAGTCTCTCTCTCCATCTTTTTTGTAGTTTCCCTCAGGGACTGGAAGGCCACAATTACATCACCCCAAGGCCTTCCCCTCTCTAGGATGAACAATCCCAATTCTCTCAGCTTTTCCTCACAGCAGAGCTGCTTCATCCCTCTGATCACCTCTGAGGTCTCCAACAGCTCCATGTCTTTCTGATGCCTCAGGTTTAGCTTTTCTATTTTTGAGATTCTGTGCTGCTTTAGTGTGTGGGTCTGAGCTTCACATCAGGGCATGGTGAGTTCTCCTCACAGAGCAGGGAGACAAAACAATTCCTGCTCCAGCTGGGCACCAAGGACAAATGATCCAAATCTCAGCCCAGGAGCACAAACACCGTGGGCTGGAGAGAGAAAAACAAGCAGGGTGGGACTGCATGGGCTAAAGCTGGGATGGGACAATGAACTGCAAGGTGCAAATGGAGCAGAACTGATCCCAGTGACAGGCCCCGTGCCCTCTCGTGCATTTTGGGGCCATTTTGGTTCATCTTGGGCGCAGCCCTGGCTGGGCTCTGGTGCTGCCCAAGGTGGATCCACTGAGGTATTTTAATAAATCCCTGCTTTATTCTTTAGCTCTGTCCAGCCTCTGTTCTAGGGCAGCCTTCACAAGGCATCACTACCTACACTGGGGATCCCAAAACTCTAAGTGGGTTAATGCCCAACAACTTTGCAGCATGAGGGCTTTGAAAACTGCCCAGAAAAAGTACCAAAAGTACGAGAAAGGACCAATTGCTTTGCAGCTGATGAAAAAAAGGGGCATTTTCACTTCTTACAGCTCTACAGCACCTCAGCCAGTGAGGCCCTGATGCTTCCAGTGGGTTTCAGCTTCTCAGAAGTGCTGTTCCAAATGAAGGCACTCCAAAGGTTTCAGAGAAGTTTTTAATAAAAAGAATATTCTGGTTTAAATCCCTTAGACTGCCTTAAAAACCCCAATGTGCTGTTTCACAAATGACTGCGGGTTTTTTTTTAATTTCCATGTAATTTAAGTGAATTTGACTTGTCTTCACTAAATTGAACATCTCACAGACAGCACATGTGTAATCTTGAAATAAATCCGCTGGCAGCCACATCAGGTGATTCTAAGTTTTTTTCCACATGATCTATTTCATGGCAGCCTCATGAGCATTGCTCATGAGCATTAACATCACACATGAAATCAGTAATGAAATAATATTTTTCAACTATAAACTGATTATTTTCTCCTTTTATTCTCAAAAGTAGATGCTGGATTTAGAGCTGCTGTTGACACGGACATTTATAATGAAAGATACTTGTAAAAAGTCACATTTTTATCAAAAAATGATCAGAACTTTAGACTTGACCAGGTAGCCTGGCACCAAGAGAGAAGCAGTAAAAATAAGACTGAAGCCACTGCAAAACACAGTGCTCCATTACAGAGCTATTAAAATCCTTTTTTTATCTTGGCTTCAAAGTAATGGCATGATCATGGTACCAGTGATAGTTTTCTGTACAAGAACTATTAAAAATTAAATTCCATCACAAATTTATTCCGTGAAAATAATTGTCTCTTGCTTTGAATACTCTACAATATAAATAAATGCATGAAGAACTCAACTGATTTTCTCTCTCCAATCTCTGGGTGCTTTTGATCACATATAATTTTGTTTTGACCTTCCTTAGATTTGAGGAATAGACGGCAAGGAAAGCACATCCATCCCTCTGAGGCAATTGCAAAAGATTGTGTGTGTCAGCTTCCCTCTGTGTAAATACCAGCATTTTTGGAAAGTGGAGAGGGAATTAAATGTTTTTGGGTTTTGTCCTCTTTTTGCCCTCTTTTTTGAAACATGGCAGCACTGATTGTTGTTACAGGTAAGATTTTCTGGCATCTTTCCTCCATGGAGAAATGTCTTTCTCTTGGTGAAACAGCAAATCCCTTCTGTTGCCCAAAGATAGCACTGACATAGTTGGACAACACAGCTTTTTTTCCTTTCTTTTTTTTAACGCTACTGTAACAATCTACAAAAAGTTATTTGTCCACACTAGCCTAAGATACAACAAAAGTGTATGCTATGGATAAGCATTTCACTGATAAAAATTACAATTATCTTACATAATACTGCTTAGATAAGTATGTTCCAGTTGTCCAAATTGTTTTTTATCATGATTTATCCAATTTTCACCACATCTAGCACATGCAGCAGCTTTTAAGGACAGACCCTACCCACAGGAATGGGTTCTAGCTGTCTTTAACCATTTCCATCTCATTCAGACAGTGCTAACCTAGAATATCAATCTTATTCGGGTTTTTTCTTTTCCTTTTATCCTTTCTCTTTATTCCTTTATTACCCTCCCTTGTGAGCCTGCTCGATGGAAAGCTGATACATGAACACAGACTGAATGCAAATGGTTTAATATATTCAGGGATTAAAGAAGGCATAAACCCTAAAATCACAAGTCTAGCAGACACTAAAAGAAATTCAGAGTTAGGCAAATGGGTTTCTTTCCTTCCATCACCCTTTAGTTGTTGGGCTATTTCCCTATGCCCTGAGCTTTGGACTGACTAGAGGTCTGTGAACTAACAGAGCTCCACCTCCTGATTTTGGTGAATTTAGGAAAATTGGTCATTTTGATGGAAAAAAAATCTGCCAGAAAAGAAGAGCCTTTGATTTCCAGTCCCACAGTCAATACAGAGTGTTAGAGCAGCACCGTCAAATTTACTGCTCCCATGGCCAAACCACCCAGACATTTAACTTGGAATGAGCAAAACGACACCAATAAAGGGTGAGGAATCCACTTATAGGGAGCTGCAAAAACATGTCCCATCCCAGAGAAAGAAAACGTGCTAGGAAAGGCCTCTGGAACCTGGGGAACAGCTTTGTCCCGGGCACCTCGCGTGCGACGCGCAAAATGAGCAAGGAGAAAGAAATGCCAGCTCTTTCTGAGCTAAAAAGATGGGTCAGCACTTATCAAAACCTATTAGTTCTTCAGTCCAATTACATTTTGAATGAACACACCCCATTCCCATTGTGTTTCTCAATGAATGATTCTGGTATTTTCTTTCAGGAATATACTGAATCAGCCACTGCGGGCAATTAACTCAATAAATGACTACCAGGGGGATGCTCTGATGCTGTTTCCATGTGAATCCAAGATCTGTGAAAAGCTGGAAGAGCACTCAGCAGGACAGTGCTGAAAGTGGGGATGTGTTCCCAGCTTCACCCACTGACACAGACCCGTGAAGCTGAAGGGTAACAAATGCCAGCACTGCCAAGTAGAATCTGGCCCTGAATGGGTGTAAAGCCAGTAAGAATCCAGGGTAAAAAACTGCTGCATTCAATAAAAATCACCCTTCCAAATACTGACATTTTGGCTTTTTTTTCCTGTTTAGATGCAGTTTTAGGGGAGAGAAAGGGATCATGAGAATTTACATACAAATTGCCCTAGGAAACAGTCAGATCACCCATACTATCTTGTTTTTTTTAATAAAGGCACTTACAGATACTATGGCTTGCATATCAAAAGTTATCCTGATACTCTCTGTGGGCTTGGGCAGATATTTCTATTTCTTTCTGCATAACCCTACTCACTAAAGATAAATATTATACCAAAAGCAAATCTATCCAAAGGAAATGCACTTTTTAAGTCCTGTCACATGCAGCCATGCCAACATGAACTAGCAAAGGCTCTCACCTGGCAAGGGGCAGCCCAGGATCTCCAGCCTCATGCAGATGCTGCCCTCCTGGAACCAGGAGCGCGGGTTGATGCGGATGTAACGCGCCACCAGCGGCACCGGCAGCATGTTCAGCACTGGGATCTCCTTCTCGCTGTTCCCTTCAAAAATCTGAGGGAAAGAGAGGGCAACATCAGTGCCTCAAACTGACTCAGAGTGGTTTTGGTAAGAGAAATGTAAATGTAAAGTGTAAAATCACCTTTCAGCTCCAGGCTGATGGTGGCTCGGGCCAGATCTGCTCTTTGAGGATGGCAATATCCCCCATTCCCCCATGGCAATTCTGATTCTGTACCTTGGGATTTGCTCTTAAAATCAATGACAGATGCTGCCCCTGACTAATCTGTGGCCAGCCCCTGCTTTCCCACCTCTGCTCTTCCCCATAAAACATGTTTTGTTCTACTCACCACATCTCCAGACTCGTTCCTCACAGCAGTCCATGCATGGCTGTCGTTGCTCACCAACACTCGGTAAGAGGTCACCCAGTTACTCCTTGAAAAAGAGAACAAATAAGTTACTTTTCAGAACTTAGAATGGCTGCACATTATTTAATATAATCAAACTTATAAGGCTGCTAGAAGTGGAAATCCCATTTGGCAAAGTCATGCCAATCTGGATTCAACACACTGTTCAAAAAGCCTGGCACATAGAAGCAAAATCCTGGTGAGATAATATTCTGGGATTCCAGGGGGTGAGAGACTTGCTGCTCTCCTCTCCTTTTATATGCAGAATTTGGAATAAATGGCTTATCTAGAATAGATTTATGCAGTGTTCAAAGATCATCTTTTCAGCTGCAGAACATTTATTAGTTCTGCTGTTATTATCAGAGAGGATGAGAAAAAAGTAATAAATCCTCAAGGATGAAACATCTGTGAATTTCAACCAGCAAAATTTCCATTTCTTTCAATAGAAGAATAACTGGTGCCTGCAGTTATTCTTTTATTTATTAGCAAAAGACAGGGACAGAGAGACAATTGATCACAGGACTACTGCACTCCTACAATATCCTGATCAATCCCCAATAGGCTGATTTTTCTAATGTCATCTGATTTACAGCAATGAAAAAGTTTCCTTTCATCTGAAAAAGTCAAATACTTCAGTTATGCCTCATCTGGATCCAGCTAAGGAAGAGTAGGAGCAAATGTAAAATGCTGCTTCCTGTATTCGGGATTATAGCTGTGGAGTTTCCACTGCTCAGGCATTACCTGTGGACAGGTAACAATGTGTGTACAGGGCTGGAGAAGGCTGGAGAAGGTAATGCCCAACTCTCCTCCCACATTTGTTACTCAGAAAGGGCAGCAGTGATTTGTTTTTTCCCCTAACACCTGGTTTCAGTAGGCAGGGACTTGGAGGAGACTTGTGGCTTGGAGGAACATTTGTACCATGAAGTCAGTCCAGGATGATTAAATTCCATATTTATGTGCAACCAGGAAGGCTCTGAGCTGCTCTTCTTCAGCACAGCTAAGCTACAGTCCCATGGCTGGGAGTGAAACCAGGGCTAGGAAAGCTCTTGGCACTGGGGAGAAGAAAAGGGCACTTGGGCAGGTATTAGAGAAGCAGCAGAGCATAAAAATTGAAGATCAGGAGTGCCTGGAAGGACAGAAACACCTAAGGACTTCCCCTTGTACTGCTCCTGTACAAATACAACTTTGTTTTTTTTTTGTTTTTTTTTTTTCTTTTAGAATCAGCTAATAATAGCAAACTACCTATGAGCACACACTCCACATTGAACCCACTGTGCCTGTGTTTAGGGACAAGCCAGCCTTTATGTGCTCACTAAAGAGTCAGGCTTCTAATGAAGACTAAAAAGGGACAAGGATGGAACAAGGGAAAAACCATCAGCTCCACTTCACCAAGCTTTGTACAAAACAGACAACTGAGGTTTTTAACACATCTGAAAACAAAGATGAGGTAAATATTTAGTAGGATTTGGAAAATCACTTATGGACATTCTATACTAATGCCCCCAAAAGTAAAAAAATGAGATTTTGACAAAAAACCAACAAAATAACAACTGAACAAACCCAGCTCTGTTTTAGACACTAAACCAGCCCTTTGCAACTCTTTCACCAGCCTCCTTCAGTGAATAGACTTTGCCATTCATGTTAGATTAAATGGAAAAATCTTGACTATTGCCAAGCAGGCAACTTTTTGTTATGGCAATGAAAAGAAGGGTACATCTATCACTTGTAATGCACACAACTTTAGTATTTGGTAAACAACTGTAACAAGTTAGCAGCACTCTGAAAATCCTAATTGCCTGCCTTTCAGTGGAAGGGCTCCTGGGGTAGGAGATTTACTGCAGAGCTGAGAAGTGCCGTGCTGGCGTCTCTAAAATTTGGCTGTAAAATGATAAATGACACACAAAAAAATAAACAGTGACTTCAGCATGCTGGATAAGTTTCTCCTGACTCTTGCAAAGAACTTTCTTCCCTCAGCTTCTCTGTGTTCTCAAGTTGAAGAAAGGCTGATTTACTTCTGTCAAATAAAGGAGCTGACAAGAGGAGAGGGAGTTGTGACAAGGACATGGAGTGCCAGGACAGGGGTGATGAAAGAAAGTAGGTTTGGATCAGATATTGGGAAGAAATTCTTGGTTGTGAAGGTGCTGAGGCCCTGGCACAGGGTGCCCAGATCCCTGGAAGTGTCCAAGGGATGGGGCTTGGAGCAGCCTGGGACAGTGGAAGGTGTCCCTGCCCATGGCAGGGGTGGAATGGGATGAACTTTAAGGCCCTTTCCAGACCAAAGCGTTCTATAAAATGGCCAACAGCAAAACTCTAAAAAGAGGAAAATAGCTTTTTCTGAATTACTAGAAAAATATAAGCTTGAGAGCAAAACTCCTGGGTTTGAAGGAGAGTGCTTGTGGCACTGTAAATATTCAGTGCACATACAATTATATTGAGCTTTTTGCTGTTTGTTTGGGTTTTTTTATTTATTTTTTTATTTTTATTTTTATTTCCTTGCTCATTTTGTTGGGAGTTTGCATGAGTTTTGCATAATTGTTTCTTTTACTATTCTTGGTCATCTCTCAATATCAGGCTAAAGGACCAAGACAGGCAACGCCACAAACCAAATTACATCATTGCTTCTGAAGTATTACAGAACTTTGTTCACTTCAACTGCACAGATCAGATAAGGAAGGCAAACACAACACATCCATATTCATTGCTCAACATTTGCAGAAGCAATTCAAACAGAGTACTAAAGTCACATGAAACCATGACAAACGTGGACAGACTTTTGTAAGAAAATCATGGCACATACAGGATGTTTTAAAAGAACAAGCTTGATTTACTGGCATAAGAAAATGCTGCTGTCACAGTAACATTTCTAAGCTGGGACTTTCATTTAACATATTTTGATTTTCTCACTCCCTACCACTACAAAAGTTCAAACCTCTCCCAAAGGAAAACATATACAAGTAGTCCTGCATATTTTCCATCTTGAGTGGCAACAAGCAATGTGCTGTGGAGGGGCAGAATGCAATTAAAACCCTAATGGACTGCATCCAGTCTTGGACACTGGCAGGATAGAAGGACCTCAGAGGGTCATGGAGGACGTAAATCAGTGCAATGTAAGAAGGTACACACCATATACTATTCATTGTGTTTGCCTGTGAGGAAAAAGCAGAATAAAAACATCACAGGGATCAGATCCTTCTCTCACTGGCACTGCATGCAAAGCTGCCTCCAGTGGCTTAAATCCTTCCCCCTTTTTCCCCAATGCCACAATAAAAACAGTTTCTGACAATATTAAGGAGGCTCCTGTAAATTGAGACTCCCTGAGAAATGGCACCTTCTCCGTAAAAGCCACATCCCCCAAGCTGGGGCAGGGGAGCTCTGTGTGTGTTCTTGGGTCAGAGGATCTGGAAAAAAAACAGCAAAGCCCTAATTGACTGAGTCATCAAACCCCAGACACTTCCACAGCTCCAGACAGACAAGAACTCATTAAATTCTCCCAAGAGCTGCAGTTTTCCCTCCTGTGTGTGGCATAGGAGGGCTGGTGATTCCAGGGAGCAGCTGGATGCTCCAAGAACAGCATTTCCTGGGATCCAGGAGTTCCAGAAACACCTGGTTTATTTATGCAGGCACAGAAATTTAAAGCTTTTTTGTGGCAATCCATCAGAGGAACAGGGCAGCTAAAGCCAAGCCTTGTGCTAGGAGAGGTATTGGGGAATTTTGTCTGTGTGATCACCTGGTGACACCAAGATCCATCTCCTCAGTTTGGGATCTGCAAACAGGGATTTCTGTCACATCCAATCTCTTTGCGGCCCATCAGCACTGAACAATAAAGCTGTCTAAGGAAGGCTGAAATAAAGCTGTAATGTTTTCCAGAACTCAGGATGTCCCTGCTGTTGTTTCACAGAAGCTTTTCTGGTTTCACTCTATAAAATCTCTCAGAACCTACCACTGCACTCCTAAGAGAAAAATACAGATATTTGCTGGGTTTACAGAGCTGAGGAGATAGAATTCCAGGGAAGTCCTAGGCCAGCATTCTCAAAAGAGAGCATTAATTATGGAGCTCTTTCTTGGCACAGAAGCCATTGTGTGACAATCCAGGAGTGTTTGAGGTTACCCTCAGCCCATCACCCTCTGCCACAAACTGACACTTCTGCCTCACAAATTTCCTCCATGCTGGAAAAAGATCACAAGGTACAGATTTGACAGGGAGCCTTTGGATTCAGGTGCATCCCTTTTAAATAATCCCTTTTAAAATTTATGGCAGCCTTATCTCTTCAGACGCAGCCTATCTGAAAAATCTCAGTATCCACTGACAATATTAATCAATTCTTTTCAGAGACAGTAAATGCAAAAATCAAAATATTATTCAAATTCACTTAATAGGGTGGATTTTTGAATTATTACTAATTATTTGATTTTTATCTGGAATGCACTGGCCTTAGACAAAGCTTATTTGAACACCTTCAATTTCAAATCCAGTCTTTTGTGATGCATGGAAATGTCCTGCTTTTCCATTTTTATCCAAAAAAAAAAAAAAAAAAGCTGAAGGATTAAATAACTTGCCCAGGGACAGAGACGGTAAACCTGAATCAAAGCAGAGAATTAAAAGCAGATCTCCTACAGCTTTGGCAGGTTCCTGTCCCAATAATCAGCTTTTCCTTATCTACCCACAGCATCAGCTACTGAGCAAAAAGATCATGGGCAGCACCAGAACAGCAAAACATCTTCCAGCTGTGCCTGCCCTGATACAATTTCCTGACTTTTCTCTCTGTGTGTTGGACAAAGGCTGAATCCCAGCTCAGGAGAATGGGAAGCAGAGGAGGGATGCCAGGTTTTCCTGCCCAGGTTCCAGCAGGCAGGGGATCAGCTGGGAATTGGGATTGTTTGGGTTTTTTCTCTTTGAGCAGCTCCTGCTGCATGTCACATTTTAATGCCAAGCTTCTCAATCATGGAAAGCTGACCAGCAACAAGTGAAATAAACCTAAAATAAAGATTGATCCTCATCTCTGAGGGTGCTTTTCCACATCAAGAAAA